CTTCTACCTTTTTGGTGATGTTCATCTTGACTTTCGGTGCGAAATAGCTAAATAGCTGAAGCGCTAGTAAATATTTGGCCACTAAACTAACTAGTTTCTAGCAAATTAACAAAATAATTTAAGTTAACTGACCTGTACCAGTCTGGTACACATGTACAAGTCGGTTTATCTAGAAAAGGTTTATATGAAGCAATCAGGCTAATATAACCGACCTGAAGTCACGATGGGAACAATGGAGAGGTCCACAACCCTGAGACCGTCCACGCCGTGCACTCTGAAGGCCATGAATGTAGGCGTTATTAGGTTATCTCTGATCACCGAATATTATTTATATTATTTGCATAACTCTCCAACTTCAGCAAGTAGTAACATAACTTTGAATGGCCAGATAAATGAAAATTATGAATTATGGTAATCAGACATGAGGAATGTGAAAATTGAGTTTGCAGTCTAAATGACCTTTAATACGATATTCGTTTAGCATTGTTTCTTTTCTCAACTCCAATTTTCTCTGGCAATGTCCATCTTTAACCAAGATGTATCACAATTGCTTCATAAATAAACGATTTTTTTCTGTGGTGAACAATCGCCAAGCGAAAACTCTCAAATAAATAATTACATAATGCGACATATTTGAGTAAATGCAATAAAATATATCACTCGAAAGCCCGTTACAGTTATTGAAAAATAATTGCAACAACTATATTGTAAAAAAACTTTTAACAACTACTTACGACAATGAATTCTTGCGAATATCACCCACCTGAGTCTGGGGGACACGACGGCCATGGGGTCGGTGGCGGGTGCCATCTTGCAGGTGCAGCAGAAGTGGTGGCCCGTGGTGCTCATGGCGCGGATGAAGCAGCGCCAGTACTCGTCTGAGCCCCAGGGCAGGTGCTTGCAGCCTAGCAGCGGCTGTGCATAATTTACAATTAAAAGCCTTACAAAGAAATCAGCGTGAGTCACTGCAGGGAACTAATTTTTATTATCGGTAATATAAATTTTTTTAGTTTGCTTATTGAACTTATTTTATAAAATTAATGAATTAAAATTTAATTTATTCATTTTGATAATACATACCTAACCTATAAAAACTATCAATCAAGACACAAGATAAAATTTAAACCCTCAGCAATAAAAAGAGATGTATCCAGTTTCTATAATGAGCTTTTTACAAAATAAATACGTCAGAGGACTCATACTTGCATAATTGCACCTAGCTTTACTCACCCTGTCTTACCCTCCCCATAGCTTTACTCACTCTGTCTCACCCTCCCCATCTAGAGTATCCCTCCCATATATACTCACCCTCAGCTCCACTCACCCTGTCAATAAAAGTGGCATTCACACCCTCCCTCAGAGCTCGCGTCCTTCCCACTTCCATAGCGAATTCTATGCCTGAAGAAAGGAAGGATAGTGACAACCTGCTCGGTTAATTAAATTGTTTTTGCTATCATAAATTTGATTTATTCCAGTCTAGTCAAAACTTAAATGATAATGACGAATTCTAATTGAGAACTCCTCATGAGAAGACGTTTATATTTTGCCTGAGTATCAAGCTGGACGAGGCTAGAAGACAAACAGCATTTGTATCATAGGCAAGACGTGCATTTTCCGCCGTATGACGACTTATGAACACATATACAAATGATAAAAGGTAATCTAAGAAAAGGAATAGCTCATTGGCTAGATTAATCAAAGCTCAAAATTGAGCTCTTCGAATTAAGGAATAATTTGTACAAATATCATAGTTATATGCAAAATCTTTGATATTATTTAAGCCCCTTGAAGACACGACACGATTAAAAATATTGACATACTTTTAAGAAGATCCTCAACATCATCAGGATGTTCGAAATAATTCGGGTCGACATTAGGAGGCTCGAAGGGACTATTGGACCTGAGGGTGACGGCGCCGCGGCTCCTGGGAACCTGCAGCATAATTTGGACGTCGAACCCGTCCCTGCCCTCGTAGGGGGCGTAGTAATCCTGGTAGACCTG